TTTTTGGCATACTTTTCATACATTTCTTAGTCATTTTCTGCAATCTTCCAGTGGTGAATAATTCTTTCTATTAAATACACTTTATTTTTAATATTTTCTTTGAATATTTCCTCTTTTAGGAGCACCCAAACATTTTCTATAGGACTTAGTTCAGGAGAGTTTTCTGGCCAATCAAGAAGTGAAATATTCTGTTCTCATAGATATTTTTTAATTGATTAAGCCATATGATATGGTGCCCCATTCTGCATAATGGTTTTTTTTCATCTGGACTAAACCATTCTGCCAATTATGGCAACAATCTTTGTTCCAGGTCATTTTTAACTTTGCAACTGATTCATTATTCTCTCGACATTATAGAGCATCCTCATTCCCCTTTCACATATCATTGATCAGATCATCACAGAGGTGGGGTGTTCAACAATTTAAATGATGCAGTTCAACAAGTATTTTTCTTTTTTTTTTTCTTTTACATATCAAGCCTTTTTTGTTAACACTTAAAAAGTACTCTCATTGCTAAAGCATACTTTAAAATACTTTAGAAGGATTGTTAAATAAATCTTTAAAGTTTAATGTTAGAAAGTAAATATTTTAAAACCAATTGAATTAGTTTTATTGATTTCCAACCATCTTCCATTAAAGTTATGTATATTTTTGCCCACCAGTTTTTTCTACATTATTTTTGGTATCAGTTTAGGCTTCTTAGCTGGATGTCGTGAAATGTAATCAATATTGTGCAGGCAATGTTGAACCGTTCTTTGACATTTTGACCCCAGATTGGTCAAGCTTTTCAGTTACTTATTTGTTGGTGGCCTGCCTATATTCTAGAATAATCTTGGCCTATTTTCTAGAACAATCTCTGTATTCTTTTCCAGCGTGGTGTTAGGATTCTCTTTTTTCTACATTTACCAACCCTCTTTGGTATTAAGTTCTCCACATTACTCATTTTTTGTGTATATCACATTTCAATACCACAGTTAAGAAGTTGTTAGGTACTCATAACTTTAAAAATATCACATCAAATACAATTATTTTTACATTAAAAAAAATTCACCTCTCCATGCTATTTGGTCTCTAAAAAGATTTGATGTCTTTTTTTTTTAAATTATTGCAGTTGTCAAACTTTTGTCAGTTGTGATGCAAACATCGGAGTTTTTTTCAGACATGATTTCAGAAGATTCTAGCAACAAGTTTTTGGTCTGCTTGTTTTTTAGTGATCAAGTGGCAAATGTTAATTGCATGGTAAGTACTGAATATTTTACCCAAGTGGCTTATCATAAAAGTTTATGAAGAGTCATGGAAAAGTCATGGAATTTCATTTTCAAATTTGAGTGGCCAACCTGTATATTTTTTTAATTTGCTCAAATTGAGACAAATTTATATAATTCATTATAACTAATATATAAAATATACAATTCGTTCATAAAATAAGTTTATATTATATATATGAGTTTGAGCAAAAGAAAAAAAACAAACAGTCATAACTTTCAAAAAGAATGTTTCAAATCTATTTTTTAAAATGGTTTCGTATTATTAACTGAATTTTAAATAACAGCTTTAACAGGAAGACATAACATTGACTAAGACATTGATTTACAATATTAAGAATATTATTTATTTTTTCATTATGGCATTAAGACACTGATTTTTTCTTTAAAAAAATCAATCAGTTAGTCTATCTAATTAAAAAGATTTGCATTTCAATTAACACTCTTTTTTATAATTTTTTTTTTTTTTTTTTGCAATAACCATGCCTTTAAAAAAGCATTGTAGTTTATGATGCAATTACTGGTTTATTTCTAAAATGATTTATCGTTTTTCATCTTAGGTACAACAATAATGGTTTACTCTTTTAAAGATCTTTGCAAACTTGACCATATTGTCATTAATGTTATAATGATATTGACTGTTATGCACAAAAAAAAAACAGTTTTTTTAAAGTTGCATTTTGTTAGCAAAAAAGTCAATTTAAAACTCAAAGTTTGTGTTTTATATTCGATGTAGTTTGTACAAGAATTTTTAACAGAAAAGTGGTAAAAACGTAATAAAAAAAGTAATGGAAAAAAGTAAATGTAAAAAAAAAAGTAATGGAAAAACCAAAAGCTCTAAATTGCTCTTATCAGCATTTGGCAATGCTGACCTAACTGCCGACCTAAAAGTGTTTGAGGTCGGCAAAAAATTGCTGACCTCGTTTCTATGTTTTATGGTAACCCCTTTGTTTCAATTTTTTTTGCCAACCTCAAACTGCTAGAAGTCATTGTCAAACTGTTAGAGTTCAAACTTTTAGAGTATGCTATGTTAGCTTAAAAATAGCAGTTAAGAGATCGGATAATTCCTTGATCCATAGGTTGGGTGGTCGTGTTTGTATTCGGTGGAAGAAAGATAAGCTCCACCCAATCAAGTTTCTGCATGTAAGGATGGGCAGAACAATTATCTATAATTAAAGCAATTTTTCTTTTCTGAAAATTAGCATCAAATACAATTCAGCATGTTTTTGTTTACTGTTTAAAGCTTTTTTAGTTTGGTAAGTTTGACACTTGCCCAAGCGATGTTATAGTATGTTAAGTGTGTTACTATGAATAAAAGTATAAAACTTTTAGTGATTTAAAATTAAGAAATTTAAAATAAAAAAAGATCATTTAATATCTCTAACATTTATTATATATTTATCATATATTTATCATATATTTATCATATATTTATCATATATTTATCATATATTTATCATATATTTATCATATATTTATCATATATTTATCATATATTTATCATATATTTTGAAATATTTTTTTCTAGGCTGTTTATATGAAAATCCCAAAATGAATTTTCTTTCAACTCTACGCCTAAAAAGTTTACTGAAGATTTTCTTTTAATAATAGTTTTGTTTATAATAAAATTTGGTAATTTCAGTGGGATGATACCAGTTTCATTTGATTTAAGGAATAAGATAAATTAAAATTTTTCATCTTTCAGAGAAAGTTTGTTACCTAAAAACCACTCATTAACTTTTTATAACTGTTCATTAATGTGTTTGAAAAGTATTTTAATATCTTTGTGTGAATTAAAAAAATTGGAATCATCTGCAAATAGAATTAAATTTGATGACAAATATAGATCATTTATGTACAGTAGAAACAATAATGGCCCCAAAATAGAACCCTTAGGAAACCCACAAGTTATTGAGTGTTTACTTGTTACTTTTTAATCATAGCATATGAATTGTTTTCTATTTGTTGGGTAATTTTTAAACCAAAGTAAATTTTTGTTTCTAATGCCATTTTTTTCAAGATTAATTAGCAGTATATCATGCTTTACTGTATCAAAGGCTTTGGAAAGATCAATCAAAATTCCTAATGTAAAATAATCGTTGTTTAGAATGTCAGATATCTTGTTGACTAACTTGACTATGACATGTTTAGTTTAATTTTTTAAGCCGAACTGTTTGTCATTCTTTGATAGTCATAGAGTCTATTCTACATTATACGCTTAAGTATTTTAGAGAAACAAGGTAAGAAATTGGTCTATAGTTTGAAATAAGGTAGTTATCTCCTCTTTTAAAAATAGGTGTAATTTTAACAATTTTTAAATTATCAGGAACAGTACCGGGTTTTAAAGAAAGTTTAAAGATATAAAATAATGATGGCTCAATCACATCAAATACAGATTTTACAACATTGATGCTAATTTTATCAAAATTCGTCTAACCATCCATCCGAAACTTGAAAATTGTTGAAGCTTAATTCTTTCGCAAAATGTAAAACTTTTTCTTTTCCTGCAAACCCCTAATTGGGACAAAATTATAAGCTCTCATTGGTTTGAACCATTTAAATATAGCTTTGTTTACTTGGTAATATGTATCAACTTTTCACCCCTTTCAGCCAAATTTCCTTGACAAAAAGTGTCAAAGATTTTATCTTTATTTATTTTCCAGGTTAAAAAAGTGTTTGGTGGAATATCAAAAGTTTTCAAAACCTCTTTGTTTATTTTACATTTCCAGTAGAGTTTTATATTTCTGCTTTAAATTGTTTTCTTTGTGTAGTCTCTTTGATGCTATGATTTTTTTAAACAGAAGAAGAAAAAAATTCACACTAATCTTCAAAAACTCAAAACATTCGAAATTTGAAAAAGGAGTTAGAGCCAAGCTTTTTACACATTAGAAATTTAAAAGTTTTGATTTGCAGAGAGAATTTTACTGGCGAATCTAAAAAATCCATTCTAATTGTGGAGAATTTTAAGTTATAAAGATATGAATTATAGAAAGTTAAACATAAGAGTTTCTTAAGCGCATTTCACAGTGAATTTGCTTTAAATCAAGTTGAATGAAATTTTTCAAATTAAAGAGGTTTGAAATAGAGAGATTGTACTGTACTAATAAATTATAATTTTAAGTATAGAATAATTTTATCTTTTATATTAAGATTCTAGATTCTACTTGCTCAAGTTTAAACATAAAAAAGAGTTTTTACAATCTCAGGTTTTTTTATAACAAATGTTATTTGCGTTTGTAAAAAATGTTTGATGCTTCAATCAACAATAAAATGTCTCTGAGGCTACAATCAATGCAACCTGATACTTTGAATAAATTTTTTTTTTTCTTTTGATAAATTTAAATTGACAAAAAGAAAGGAAATTTACTTGCAAAATTTGTGAAAATAAATAATAAAAAATGTATGAATATGAATAATGGTAGTAATACTATTTAATGCACATATAATGTGAAAAGTATTCTTTGCTCACAAAGTTTTCACAAACTTTGTAGACAAAAAAAACTACAAAAGAATTAAAATGACCTAGAATTTTACCTTTTTAAAAAAGATGCAAGTAATCCAAGGTTTTTATTTAAATCATTGACATATATAGAAAAAGAGATAGAGAGATTATTTTAAGATATTATTTTCATAAAAAGTGTTATTCAAAGTTAGTTAAAAGCTAAATCTTGCTTATATTTAAATTTTTAAGTTATTGATATTTGAGTTTTGTAATAATTAAAAAATATTTTTTAGCCCCCAAGGTAGCAGTAAACTGGGGTCAAAGCCTTGCTAATCGAGCTACAAGGTATCAAGAAGGTTCATTAAGATCATATTGTCAAAGAAAAGCTTATGATATATTTATTATCAATACATTGGATGTATTTTTTGACCAGCAGAACCAAGGTAGTTGTTTTAGATTTTTTTAACAATTTTTCAACACAATTTTTAACACAATAGTTTAAATTTAAAACAATTATTAACACAATAGCTTGAATTAAGAATTAATAAAAAGGTAGTAAAAAGGAGACAGCAAAGAGATTAACTTAATATTTATCAAATAAATGTAATTGAGATTATGTATATTGTAATTAAGGAAGCCAATTCTATAAAGTATATGCAGTAGTGGTGTGGTGGTAGAGCGCTTGCCTTATAAGCAAGAAGTTCTGAGTTCGATCCCTGCCATGTATATAAATATAGAAAAAATATGTATAAATAAAATGAATATTAAAAAAAGTTTTGATTAGTAAACTTTGATGAAGTGATGTTGCACCAGGCACCACAATGATGTTATAATTTGTGATGTACAATGTGTCTTTGTTTGGGTTGAAAGTACATCAAATCAATTTTTTTAAATGCTTGTTGAACTTGAATTGACAACATTTGCAGGTAGCGCATTATTAACAACTAGATTTGTGATAAAATTGCCCTTTTTTTGGCAGGTTTTTACAACCTCCCAAGTTATGATATATTATGATAGTTATGCCCAGACTATATCAGACTGTATTCTGAGAGCGAGTGTTTGAATTAAACATTAAATTGAACATTGAATTGAATGATTGAATTGGATATACTGCATATACTTGTGGATCTACAAAGTCAACTGTTTCTATAATCTTTTTTTTTTTTTTAAACATCTTTGCTTCCAACAAGGCTGCAAGCAACCACTAATTAGAGTTGGAAGTTACTGGAAGAGAAAAGATAAAGATTGTAGAGCAAGATAAGGATTGACAGAGGACTTAAAAAATTGCAAATTATATGAATCAGGAAAGCAAGATGAAGGAAGCGAATTCCAAAGAGTTGATGTTTGAGGAAAAAAACTAGACGAATAAGAGTTTTTGGAGCACTTAGGAACAGTAACAGAAAAAGGATGAGACTTAATTGAATGTAGAGTAACACGAGAATGAATTTTAGTAGATGGCACAAGAGACACTAGCTCTTAAGAGCAGTGCCCATTATAGTATTTGTAGAAAAGAGAAAGAGAAGCAACATTACAACGATGAGACAAAGGTTGAAGGTTGGCTGCAAGAGCAGGTCCAACTATGTTTACAATGCGTTTCTGCACCTTGTCTAAAAGAGAAAGGGCATCCTTAGAAGATCCACCCCAGATGTGGCAATAGTATTTTATACAAGACGGATTTGAGATTTATAGAGATAGAGAATAGAATCCAGAGCAAGAAAGTGTCGAGCTTGATATAGAAATGAAGCTTTAGCAGATGCTAATTTTGCAACAGATTTGATATATGGTTTCCAAGAAAGATCAGATGTAAGAATAAATCCTAGAACATGAAGGGTAGATGACTCATCTAGTACATTACTGTTCATAAATATAGAAAGGTCTAAATTATTGCGATAACGATTGGCTGAAAAAAATTGAGTTTTATCTGAATTAAAGTTTACCAGCCACTGTGAGCCCCATGCTGTAGCAGAAGTGAGATCCTTTTCAAGCTCAAATGCCCCCTCCAAGCACTCAGAGAGTGTTGGCTTCTTATAATGTCAAGAATAAATGGTAGTATCATCAATATCTGGAAGATCGTTAATGTAAATTAAAAAGAGTATAGGGCCAATGGTTGAACCTTGAGGAACCCCTGAAGTTACAAGATATAAAGAAGAGTGTTGTCCATCGAGGATAACTTTTCTACTACGATTGGAAAGGAAGGATTCAATAATCTTAAAGATATTTCCAGTTACATTACAGTAAGAAGAAGGCTAATGGAGAAGATCAGTATGCCAAACTTTATCAAACGCTTTAGAAATGTCACGAGCAATGGACTTAACCTCTCCACCTTTATCTAATGCACGATAAAATCTATCGGTTATTACTGTTAGCAAATCAGCCATAGAACGAGAATGTTGAAATCCATATTGATGATCAGAAAGTAAGTTATTAGATTCAAGATGAGAGATTAAGTGCTTGTTAATTAAAGATTCAAAAACCTTGCTTATGATAGGAAGACTAATGGGACAGTAGTTAGTTGAATTAGATCGCTCTCCAGAAGTTTTAAAAATAGGGATAACAGATGCTGCTTTCCAGCAGGCTGGAAAACAAGACTCTAACAAGCACTTGTTGAATAGTTTTGAAAGGATAGACGACAGCTCCAGAGAACACTTCTACAATACTATAACAGGTATGTTGTTCGGGCCACAAGCTGTAGAAGAGTCTAAGCAGGAAATCACTTTAGATACAGAAGTTGGAGTGATATGAATGTCAAGTAATGGATCAACCTGTTTGACGACTATATCAGGTAGAATGCAACTAGTGGAATCAAGAGATGATATTGATGAAAAGTTCTTAGCAAACAAATCAGCTTTGTCTTTAGGTGAGGTGACATATTCTGAACCATACAAGAGAGGTGGAATTATAGATTTGCCTTTATTATTGATATTATTAAAGATTTTCCAGAAGTCACAATGAAGCCTAATTTTTGTGATGAAATACAAGATTTTATGACCTGAGAATAGCGGGCTTTGGCGTTAGACAAAACCTTTTTACAATGGTTTTTAGCACTAATAAACAGATGTCTGTTTTCTGGAGAATTGTTTTCCTGATAGATATGGAAGTAACGGTTTCGATTGGCAATTGCAGCAGCACAATGTGAGGAAAACCATGGAGAGGAGTGAGGCTTGACCTGGAATTGTCGAGAGGGAATAAAGGATTCCATGCCAGTCGAAATCCACCAAGTTATGTAAAAAGCACATTTGTCAATAGGAAGAAAAAAGATTTCTATCCAAGGGCCATCACAAAGAAAAGTCACAGAATTTGCAAATTTATATTGTTGAATCAGGTCAGACCTACTTTGATGCTTTTCTAGAGTAGTGAGACTATTCTAGATGAGTTGTAAGAATGGCTATCCTCATATATTTTTTGTTTAATCACATTTATTGTTCTCGTTGAATGCGATCAAGTGTTTTGATATTACTTTATAGGTGAGGAGACCAGGCTTAAATAGCATACTCAAGATAAGGTCTAACATATGTTGTGTAAAGTACCCTCTATAACATTAGCCCTCTAGTATAAAATTATTTTTTGAATTTAGCTGCTGCAGCTTCTACTTAATGCTTGACCTTAATGTTGCTAGATAGCTAATAACCCCTAAGTCACATTTGATAGTTCCAAGATCTTCTTTTTCATTTCAAGCATTGAGTAATTTGAGCAAGTTAACTTTTTTGACCGACAAACGAAAACATGACTTTGCATTTGCTGAGATTAAAAAACATTCCACCACTTCCTAGACTATTCGACTGCATGATCTATATCTTGAATCTATGATTTATTTATTGGAGTTTTATTACATCGTCTTCTGTTTTGATGTCCCCAAAAATCCAAGTGTCATCTGCATATGATGCAGCTTGTTACTTTAAAGGTTTTGTGCCATGTTGTTTAGAATATCATTTATATAGATGAGAGACAAAAATGGACCTAAAACTGAATCTTGTGGAACAGCCCTTTGACATTTATCCATGCTGACTTGCTGTTGCCTATGACCACTTTCAGTTTTCGGATAACTTTGAGTTATCCACTTGAGGAGTGGGCTACGATGTCATATGTCTTAAGCTTTAAAAAGAGACATTAGTGAGGTACTTTTTCAAAAGCTTTGGCAAAGTCAGTGTTGATTACATCTATGGCATAGTTAAGAAACAGTACATTTTTTAAGATGTCACATGCTTCTAGTAGGTTAGTTGTACATCCATATTTTGGAAGCAATCCATGTTGAGATTTTATGAAAAGTTCTTTTTCAAGGCAACATTTCATAATTCTGTTGTGCAAAAAAGCTTTTCAATATCTTACAGAGTACCAATGTGAAATAAACTGGTATGTAGTTCATGCATATTCATCTGCTTTTGTTTTCATTTGTTCAATGGCAAACACAGACTTGAAATATTTGTTAAACAAATAAGAAATTTTTTTCATGTTTGTTGTAAGCTTGTGTTTTCCATTGACTTGACTATTTCATTTGTCATTTGATTCTGCTTGTTTTCCATTGACTTGATCATTGATCTGTTTGACTTGGTTATAAAGATATTTAGGATTGAATTTGAAACTTTCATTCTCATACTTTACAACTGCTGATCTCACAACTTTAACTGGTTCTTTGCAGGTTGCTTTATTCTTTTTGTAAATCGCTTCATGCGTCCATCAACCAGGTGCTGTATATTTTTGTCAAAGTTTTCTTTTCTTTTCAACCTCTTTTTCAACTTTTAGTGTAATCCAGAGTTCTTTGCTTTGTTTAAAAGGTGTTTTAGTTGAAGGTATATTATTCAAAACATATTTCTGATCATAACATAACATTTCAAACATTCAAACATTCTTTACTTATGAATAAATTTTAATTTTTTCATAAGTAAAGAATGTAAAATATGCTTTTAATGTGAAATATGGAGGAAAAAAAAATTCTCCATATTTTCACATTAAAAGCCTTAAACAAAAACAAAAGAACATAAATAGATTTATAACAATAGAGTTGTTGTTATATCAACTTAAAAAAATCTTGATTTTCTTGTTCTTTTTCTAATTTTTTTTTAGAACGTGTTTGGAAGTACACATTTTTAAATTAGTATAAGAAATTGTGATTTATTTTTTCATTTGTTTTTTAGATGGTTTACCAAGTCTGAATCTTGGGCTTCATTGCAATGGGAAGTTTCCTGGAAACTATCCTACATATCTAAAATGTGATGAAATTGAAGAAGATATAAAGTTTTGCCAAGAAAAAAATAAAAAAGTTTTGTTATCATTGGGAGGTGGTTCTCGTTGGAATTACTTTTATGATTCAAATCAAGCCAAAAAGTTTGCCACGACATTATGGAATCTATTTCTAGGTGGTTCATACACTATTAGAGCTTTTGGGAGGTAATATATTAAAAAATGAATTTTATTATTTCTTTTTCATTCTATATTGTGTATACATGAGTTAGAAAAACAAGAAAGCTGGAGAAAATTATGCAGAGAGTATGAAGACCCTTAAACACAATCAAATCTTTTCTTTATTAAAGTCAAATTAGCAGTAGAAATAAAAGACCAATATCCATATTGATTGTAACAGTTGTTAGATTCAAAATGTGATGTCTGAGGTTTGTTAATCAATTGACATCAGACAATACCTGAATTCATTTTTTGCAATGGTAAAAAAAAGTTTTTAAAAAAATTATTTTTGTTAAAAAGATGAAAAAATTGGTTGTGGTTAAAAATACCTCTATGAGAAGGAGTAAACCATGCCTCAACAAATTTTAAAATGTTTTAACATTTGTTTAAAAAAGGCTGAAAAGTGAATGTTTTTTTAATTATTTTTATTTTTTCAAATGATGTCATTTGCTTTAAAATTTTAAAAATGAATGCATTATTCAACCAATTTCTGGTTTTTGATAAAAAAAAAATGGTTTTTGATAATGATAATGTTTGAAAAAAATATTGTGAATATTTTAATATTCACAAAAGTTTTAAAACCTTAATTATTTTGATTTTTAAAACCTTTTAAATTATTTTTTGATTTTGCTCAAATATTGTAATATAGAAATATTAAGTTATTTAGAATATTTTTATGACTTTAACATTACCAGTACTTATTAATCTCAATTATTCATAGTATATGAATAATTGAGATAAATAAGTACTGGTAATTTTTAAAAAATTCTTATGAAGGTATATTTGATTGCAGAAACAGTCTTATATGTTTTTTTATTGGCTGATAAGTTTAACAAACTAAGTTAAGAAAAAGTTTTGTATCGTTATTTTGTATCAATAAATAACATCAGAAAAACATCATTTACATATTTTATGATAAATAACATCAGAAAACACAAAATTTAGACATTTTTATAACAATTTGAAAATAATATACATTAAAACATTAATTTAAAATTTCTATTAAATTTCACATTCTAAAAATGATGATAAATAAAGGAATAAATTATAAGGAAGCAAATTTATAAATTGCTTGCTTTTTTTTATAACCAACTAATGAAAAGTTGGAGCATTTTTCGCAAAAAAAATTGCTTTTGATAGTTTGTTGAAGTTAGTATACTAATTAGCAGAATGTTTCTCATAAATTTGATCTTCATCAATAAAGATTGATAAAAGCGTTAACACTTGTGAAAATAAAGACCCCGTGGTAGGGTGAATGTTATGTTTATAGCTATGTTTATACTTGACAAGAAGAAAGCTTTTAAACCTGTCTGAATCCAGGAGATTATAAAATTTCCAGGGGCAAGATAAAAGACATCAGCACAAAGAACACCACAATAAAAATCTTGAATCTTAAGAATAGTAAGAAGTATGATGGTGTCTAATGTAGAAGTATGATGATAGAGTCTAATGTAAAAGTATGATGGTAGAGTCTAATGTGGAAGTATGATGGTAGAGTCTAATGTAGAAGTATGATGGTAGAGTCTAATGTGGAAGTATGATGGTAGAGTCTAATGTGGAAGTATGTTGGTAGAGTCTAATGTGGAAGTATGATGGTAGAGTCTAATGTGGAAGTATGATGGTAGAGTCTAATGTGGAAGTATGATGGTAGAGTCTAATGTGGAAGTATGATGGTAGAGTCTAATGTGGAAGTATGATGGTAGAGTCTAATGTGGAAGTATGATGGTAGAGTCTAATGTGGAAGTATGATGGTATAGTCTAATGTGGAAGTATGATGGTAGAGTCTAATGTGGAAGTATGATGGTAGAGTCTAATGTGGAAGTATGATGGTAGAGTCTAATGTGGAAGTATGATGGTAGAGTCTAATGTGGAAGTATGATTGTAGAGTCTAATGTGGAAGTATGATGGTAGAGTCTAATGTGGAAGTATGATTGTAGAGTCTAATGTGGAAGTATGATGGTAGAGTCTAATGTGGAAGTATGATGGTAGAGTCTAATGCGGAAGTACATGATAAAATTTTTTTGATAAAATTTTTTGCACTCTAGCATAGTTGAAACCATTTAAAGGTAAAAAAAAACATAAGAGTCAGAGATAAAACACAAATCAAAGAGTGAAGGTAAGTGATTATAATTGTCTAAAAAAAGTCACAAATTTAGCATAGTAGAGCGCTTGCTTGACAAGCAACAAGTTTCAAGTCTGATTCTGGTCCCTGGTAGTATCGTGCTCAATATTTGTTTATAATATATTATTTTATTTACTTATTTTCAAATATCAGGCTATTTCTCCTCACTTTTAGAAAAACGTGATTTAAAAATTTTTTAATCGTCATTATTTTCATCAGGATTACTGTAATAAAGCGGTTAGAAAGACATGATTTGATAATCTCAAAAACTTTCCTAGATACACTATATGAAGAAGGCTAGCATGCCAAACTTTGTCAAAAGATTTAGATATGTCAAGAGCAATAGGGCCTTGCCTTGCTGCCTCCATCTAATGCAGCCGTGGCGCAGTGGTTACAGCGCTTGCTTTATAAGCAGGAGATCCTGGTTCAAAACGAGTTTTGGACATATTTTCGCGTCACGATTCTAATGCACAATAAAATCTTTCAATCACAACAGTTAGCAAGAGAATCCATAAAAAAATTGATCCAATCAAATCAATCCATTAAAATGATAATCAAAATTTCATTTTGATTATCATTTTAATAGATCAATTTGATTGACAACTTATTTGGCTCAAAATGCATTTATTAGCAGAAAGATAAGAATCCTAGTCTGTGTTAGGGTAGAGGTAGTAAGTAGTGCAATTATAGGATGAGTCTAAAAAAAAAGTCTGAAGAAAATGGTTGGAAAAAGTCTGAAAATGGTTGGAACTACCTAGAGGAGAAAAATGAAACACTGAACACAAACTAGGGTCAGAGGTAAGACACAAATTGAGTGAAGGTAAGTGATTAGGTCTGGTAGTACTAAGCAGTAGCACATAAAAGAATGGTTAAAGTATTTGAATCTAATTTCTCAACAAAAAAGTAAGTTGATGCGTAAGTATCAGGGATTATCTTTTTGCAGATATTTCCAGAATTCCGGATATTTTTCTCAATTTTTAGTTTTTCCAGATATCAAAAATGTTTTATATACAAGCTTAAGTATATATTTTTTTAAAATATTTGTTTTTTAAGCTTTTTTACTCATGACTCATACAATAATTAAGAAAAGTAAAAAAAATTAATTATAATAACTCAACTAAAAGCAAAATTAAGAGGAATATAAGATAAAATATATTCCAGATATTTTACCCTAACGATTTTCCGTATTTTTAAATGACCTGAATGATCTATGGAATCTTTGCGGATCAAGGATAGCACCCATGAAATCTGAAAAAGGAACTGAACTAAGATCTGAAGAAGGAGCAGAGATTATACAGCAGCAGCAGTTACTAGATGAATTTTTTTCTTTTAATATATATATATATATATATATATATATATATATATATATATATATATATATATATATATATATATATACTATATATATATATATATATATATATATATATATATATATATATATATATATATATATATATATATATATATATATATACATATATATATATATATATATATATATATATATATATATATATATATATATATATATATATATATATATATATATATATATATATATATATATATATATACAGAGAGAGTGAGAGAGAGAAAGAGAGAGAGACATCTGTATGCATAATTTAAGTGTATGGTTTATTTATTACTTTTTTTTTTTTGCTTTTAATTTGATTTTCTGTTGTTCAGTGCGATATTAGACGGCATCAATATAGATTTTCGGTACGGAGAAGGTTTTTGGTTTAACGAATTTATAATTGAACTTCGCCGGCTAATGGATAGCGATAATAGGCATAGCTATATGATTACTTCTTCTCCTGAATGTATTTATCCAAGCTGGAGACTTGGTAAAACTTTTATAGAAGTTGGTGACAAATTTGATGCTTTTTTTGTAAAGTTTACTGATAACGATTGTTTCTTTGACAACGAAAAAGGTTTCAAAGATTCTCTAGAAAAATGGCTCTCTTTAAAACCTGTTGTTTATATTGGACTTCCATCATCGCCGCAAGCGTCTTATAACAGGTTGCATTTTGTTACTCCGAAGAGATTAGAAACACTCTTTAGCGTAAGCATCCATAATAATTTTGTTTTTATTAAAAGTTCGACTAATTGTGGTTAGTTTGAGCAATTCTAATAAGTAAAATATTTTACGAATAAACATTTTTTTAGGATTTTGTTCAAAAATACGATAAAATTGGAGGGATTCTACTGGATGATGCTAGTTGGGATGACGTAAACATGGTTGCTGGACGGCGGTACAGTGACTATGTTGGTGAATTACTTCGTCCTTTAGTGTACACCACTCCGTCTTTATCAACAACGCCAGCTCCCCAACCTCCTAAGAAAGGTAGAAAAATAAGCAATTATTTTAATATTATCTATAATAATAAATGTGTTACTTTTTTACAATTTTTAAATTTCATTTTCAGATAAAGCTAACGAAATTGTACTTAGTTGGATGGTATTATGGCTTACTACGTCATTATTGTTGTTTTATAATGTTTTGCAATGGGGATTTTATTTATTTCTTATATAGGTTGTTTGAATTTATAAATTATTATTATTTTCATTACTTTGTTTAATTGAATAGTAGAAAAAAACGCAGATGGAAAATGTACTTTGTTATGAATAATTTTTTCATTTCTTTATTTATTTATTTATTTTTTGCTTGTTTTATTGATTACAGCGCGCTCTCTGAACATATTAACGTTCTATTTTGAACGTTCGACAGCGCGTTCTTATCGTTTTAACTCTTTTTTTATTATTAAATCATTCGGGTTTTTTTTTTAATGGTTTAATTTATTTGATTAAGTAGAATTGACAGATGGGCTTTTTTAACTTTGAAATTTTAAATAACTTTGAAAAGAATTTGGGTATGCTTATTTAGGATTCACATTAAGTTATATTTTTGTACATTTATTTATTTTGCTAATATTTATTCAAAGATTTATTTATATTATGCTCTAACCGATAAATAATATATATTTTGTATATGTGTGTGTAATATATGTGTTTATAATTTAGATTGATAAAGAGATATATTATATACATTTTACTCTGTAAACAAAATTTTTCTCTAAAGAAAAAATTATATATTCATAACCGTGATTGGTTTTATTTTAAATTCAACTCAACATAATAACATACCCAGGGAAATTTTGCTGCATAAAAATTGTCAAATTTTTCATTGATAAAATAGTCTTAATTTTGCAATATATGCTTATCGCGGCTATTAAAGTATTCATATCTTATCGTGGCTACTAAGTATTCATATAAATAAATTTTTTCTTTTTTATAACTAGTTATCATGAAATTATTTAGTATTTATATCAGTCTAGTGCAGCAACTCTTTTCGCCATATTTTCCACTTTTCTTCAACAGATGCTACTTTGTCACGTGAATATTCAGTCATGTTAACCGCTTTAACAAAATTCCATGAAAACAAAACGGCCCAAATCAAATAGGATTTCGTGTATGTATGAGATCTCTCCACGTTACAAATGAATTTTTTATTAAAAAGTGATTTGCAATACAAATTTTGGGTTTCATTAAAAAGATAATGTTTTATTCTGGTTAGACTTAGTGATAATTTATTTGCCCTTTACTATTCAGTAAGATTTAGGTGTTGTTTACTGATATACTGATACATAGGTTTAAATAGATTTAAACTGACATCAAACAACATTTAAACAACTTATATATCATTACGTGCATAGAATTAATTTTTACAACATTTATATCATTGCGTGCATAGAATTTCTATTCGACAAACTGTTTTTTAAGTAACGCAAAATTTAAATACAGTTTACAAATAAAATTTAAATAGTTTTTCTAATTTTGTTAAAAACATCTATGATAGTGTTAGCTTATTATGGTATAAGTGCTTAGTATCAATGCGTATCAATGTTACTCGTTGTTTTTTTTTTTAACACAAATTGAGGCTTTGCTAACAAATGTATGGTTTAACAAATAAACAGTTAAAGAGTAATTAGTAACTTTACAGTCAATTTTTATGAGCTGATTTATTTTTTTTATTGTGAACTCATGAAGATTTTATTATGAGATTGTTCCAACACTTTGTCACAAAAATTTATATTATGAGACTGTTCGCTTTTTCACAAAAAGACGTTTATGATTTATATAACTTGTTTCAGTTTCAAAAGTTGTATTTATAATGAATTGTTTATATAAATATTTTTTATGCAGATTTTATAATTTCTGTTTGTTATCCATATATTTTTTTATCCATAGAGTTGTTTTTTTAATTAATTTATTTGTTATTATGAATGTTCAATTGTTGTGACTTAGAAACATGAGATGTAAACTATTATAACTTTATTCAAATTTTTAATTTTCATAACACCCAACAGATTACAGAGAGATTTCAAGCTCTAAAACGCTTGACGCGATTGAGAACTCAACAAACAGTCAAGAATTATAAGTCGAAGCTTTTACACTTTTTGTCTGTTTGACGTCCTATACTGGCAAGTATCGTCCTATACTGGCAAGTGATCGGACTTTGAATCTGATGACTAAATTTATGCATCGTACCTTGAAAGTATGCAACTATCTTACTTACTTTTACAGTATTTGTGACTGAATGCAAGAGATCTGGACTGAATGCGAGAAATCTGGACTGAATGCGAGAGATCTTTCTATAAGTTATATCTAATTAAGAACTCTTAGAACTCTAAATATGACGGAATCGTCCTAAAGACTTTTATTCTTTCTATTAAAAAAAATCTGGTAAAGAAAGGAACCACAACGTTGTTTATCGCACCTTTGTTTCAAGAAAACCTCTTAAAATTATTTTGAGATACTTAAAAATATTTTGGGACTTAATACCAAACCTAGATATATTTTTTTCCTCGTTGTGTTAAAATGATTGATTCGTCTTAATTACAAATGTTTTATTTATTTATTTATTTTTATGAATATTGTTATATTAATAGCAATGATATATTATATAAACCAGATGTCTAACTTGCGGGATTTTATTCGACAAAAAATGAAGCCGCATTTTTTTGGTTTATAACAATAGCCCGCCATTAGTAAAAAAGGCAAAAGCTGAAGCCGAAGTGTGGAATAAAAGATAAAAGTGCAAGTCAAAAGTTCCTAATAAATTAAAGATAATTTAAAAAAACAAGTTTAATAATTACAAAAAACTTATAAAAGTTTTTCTATGAATGTTTATTAAAAAAGTATTTTAATTCATAAAAGTGCTTCAAAAGCGTCTGTAGTTTTACTTTTCTATTCAAAACTGTAATCCTTTTTGAATCGAAAATAAATTAAGGAATGATAAATTATTATTTTACAAGTATTCTAATTTCCACCAAACACTTTTACGTAAATAGTATTTAAATTTAAAATATATTTACTTTATTTAAGAAGAAAAAAGTTAAAAATATTTGTTTACAAATTTAACCGCCGTTTGTTAAAAGGTTAAAAAGCGGCTACACCTTTTGGACATCTAATTTATATAATATATCATTGATTAATAGTTATTCTTCTGGATGCGGTGGGAGCAGGGGAGGGGCGGGAGGGAGTGGAAGTATGGTGATAATTATTTATTTGTCGTTTTTACTTTTTCTCAAAATGATTTTACGCATTTTTGTGAGATTATAAAGCCCGGATAGTGATTCAGTATTTCATTTATAAACATTTCAGTTTTTAAGTTGGATATATCAGTCATCAACTTTTATGTATTTAAAACTGTAAATTGTAATTTGATCCAGGGGTGTGGAGTCGTAAAAAAAAAGTAACGACTCTGACTCCAGTTATTGAAATTTTTTGAGTACAACTCCGACTCCAACTCCGACTCAATCTCCAAAGCAAAATTTTTGAAAAATCCTTGAAAATTGGAATTCTTGAAAAAATATTGCGCGATAAGTTGAAATTTTTTTTTTGACAAATTTATGCAACGTTCTTTGAGGTTTAGTATGAACATAAGGTTAATTGAATGTTTTGTACATACACGTGCAATACCAAGAAATATTACTATCGGAGTCGGAGTCGCAATATTTTTTAGCAACTCTGATTCCGCTAAACTGTCACAACTCCGCAACTCCGACTACACAACACTGATTTGATTAATTATATATATGTATATTTTTTTTATTGAGTTTTTTGCAATAAAACCATTTTAATTTATAATATTAACAAAAAGTCTAACTTTTTACTGCCTATAATCAAACAAATTTAAATTTAGCCGAAATTTAAATTTGCTAAATTTAGCAAAAGATTAAACTGCAAAAGAATGTTTTTGTAAACACAGATTTTTTTGAAGTTTTGTTGGTACAAAACACGTTTGCATAAGTAACAATAAAGTAGAAATAATTTTACCAAACATTTATCTTTGTAATTAAAGTTTCAACTGCTTGTAAAATGCTTTTTAATAACTAAATGGCGGTCTTTAATGACGGACACAATTGCGTTTTTGCGAGTTTTGTTAATAATTTTAATTGATAATAAGTCACTGGTAGGCAAAATATTTTTATGCATTTAAAATCTAATGATTAAAAGATGTAAATCTTCAACTTCTTCAAGTTTCTATTAGAAACTTTCTAATATGATAAAATATTTCAAATGATTTATTTGAAAATTAGAACTATTTTCAACTTCTTTATCTCTGCATCATGTTTCTGCAAGACATAACTTGAAAGTTAATTTTGAAGCTAAAGAAAAATTTGTATTAAAATTTTTAATTTTCGATCTTTTTTTAAGATAGCAACTTTGCATTTGTAATTCTTTATAATTTTTAGCATTTGAATAATAACTATTCAAATTTTTATTTTAATTTTTTTTGAGTCCCTTACTTGAGTCTTGGTCGGTTTAAATTTTATACTTTTTATTCCATGTATATCTTCAAATATTTCAATTTTGATTCACTCTCATCTTAGTTTTCGTTTCCGCTTTTTTGATTAAGCCATTAACGCTTCTTCTTAGCTGCAGCTTTTTCTTTACTAACTTAAATTTATAAATTTTACATGTTACTGGTAATACAGTACAGTGTTAATGCAGTGATTCAGGTGTACCTGAAACAAGATATTACCATATGAACTGTATTACATGCAACATTAGATTTTTATTCGTTACTTTATTTTGGTTACTATCGCAATTTTAGACTTCATTACGATATTAGCGCGGATGGTTAAAAAGACCACTAGGTTTTATTTCATTCTCAGATGAAAAGGAGTTTTTTTTAAAAAATCTGAGCAAAGTGCTAAGAGTCGTAATTGGGGCAAGAGGGTAAATATAAGGTGGGCTCTTAGCCCATTTAAGTAATTTAGATGCATGTTACAAAAATGTTTATTTTAATTGAGAGTATTTGTTCTGTAAAAATAGAAAGGAGTGTTTATAAAATAAGAAAAAAAAGATTAGGGTCGCCAATAAGGGCAAAAGATAAAATTGACCTAGGCCTATTAAAGCATTTTAGATGCCCATTACAAAAAAATTTATAAATTAAACTTTAAATAATTTAACAAAGTTTAAAACAATAAAGTAATTAAAAATATTTACAGTAATAATGTATATATGGTATAAAATCGAAGATTTTTTATCCTGCTCTAGAATAACATGCAAAAGTTAACGTTAAATTTTCTTTCCCACTAAAAGTAACTACAAAGTCGCTCTCAGTGTATTTTCCTACATGTTTAAATCTATTCCATGTAGGTTTAAATTTAAAATGAAACCTTCACATTGTTCAGCAAACTATTTGAAAACCTTGGATGAACTTGGATGATAGAAATCTTGAGTATATAAGAAGTTTTTTAATTTAGAAAATACCAACTTATACTCAGTTGCAAGAGCTTGATTTAAACAAGAACTTTTTTCTTTTTATTCAGTATATAAAAGATTTTAAAATCTTTTATATACTGAACTATAGGTTTAATTTGAGAAAACTGAGATGCAAAGGTAAAGGACTCTTTTCTATCTATCCAAGACAGTTTGTTGATTTTAATAAATATTCATTTTAATTGAGTTATCAATATTTTCCTTTTGTTCTTACCAAGTCAGTTAGTCTTTATTTTTGAAGTTATTATTTAAGTAAAGATTTCTTTTGATAGATTTTGCGTTTTGTCATCGTTTTTTGTTATTCAGCATTTCAGAGATTTTGATACTTTGATAATATATTTATTACGTCACATAGTAAGGTACAAAAGCAATATTTTGGTATCTTTAGTTTTGTGGTTGTCAAGTAAAAACCTTAAGTTTCATGGTTGTCAAGTAAAAACCTGTTTTCATGACAACAGTTTGATATTATTCTTTGTTTTTTGATTAAAAAATTTTCTATGATTTTTTGTTGTGGTTTTTTATTATTTTCTCGACATTTTTTGTGTAGCTATAACTCACTTTGATGATTTTTTAGTTGAGTAGTTTATTTAGGGGGTTGGGTGATAAAAATATTTATTGATTGGGTTCAGGAAGACATATCCAACATTGATAGAATTGTTTTTACTAATTATTGTTAAAAGAAGAGAGTTATTAACATGAAAAAAAATTGTTTTAGATATGTATCAAAATAACAAAATAAATTGTTTAGTATTCGCGAGATAAAATTAGAAATTGTTTAGGGGCTGTCTATTAATTACGTCAACAGTTTTTTTCTATTTTTTCCTTCCCCCCCCCCCCCCACCCTCTTGTCAACAATTTGTCAAATTTCAAGAGACCCCTATAAAATTACGTCAATTTTTGATTACCCCCAACCTCCTATTCAAAGAAGCTACGCTACAAACTCAGCCAAATTTTCCGTTATTTCAGCAATAAAACTCAAAAAAAATTGTTGACATCAATTTTAATTAACCTCCCCCTCCCCCTTGTCAACAATTGTCAAAAAAGTTCAGACCCGCCTCCTTCCCCTATTTTGTTGACGTAATTAATGGACAACCCCTTAGTATTCGTGAGATAAATTTATAAATAGTATTCGCGAAAAAAAATTATGAAGAAAATTTTAACACATTTCTTTTTTTTTAAATATTTTTCTTTAGAAAAATATTTTAATAAAATTGAAATTAATTTTTAATGGCATTTTAATAAAAATGAAATAAATTTTTTCATGGCATGGCATATTCATTTTTATTAAAATATTTTTCTTTAGAAAATTATTTTAACAAAAATTTCAGAAATTTTAAACAAAGCATGTATATTGTTTTTGATTCCCAAAGATGAAGTTCATACTTCTATAAGTAAAACTAGAAAAGAAGAGGAAAAAAAGGGAAAAATAGAACATAAAACTACATTTAAAAAGATTGTAAAAATCCCTTGAAAAACATTGTTTTTCTCATTTTGTTTATATAACTAATTCATATTCTGTTTAATTTTTTGATTTTATTGGTCTTTAAATACTTTTAATGTAAATGAGTGTGATATATATATATATATATATATATATATATATATATATATATATATATATATATATATATATATATATATATATATATATATATATATATATATATATATATGAAAGACGTAAAAGTTATGTCTTGAGCATTTAACAAAAAAGATTACATCTTACAGATGCCAGATACATGAACATAGAAGATATTAAAGCTAGGACCTATTGATTTTAAAGCCAGCGCTTTAAAATCAAGAGGTTCTAGCACTGCCCCACACGCATTCACTGCCCCACGCGCATCCACAGCTGCTCAAATACAAAATTGTACTTTAACGGAGTAAGTTTAGTTTTTTTGTCTTGCTGCAAATAAATTATTTATACAAAAGTGTTTGAAGTGTTGAAGTATCTTAAATATATAAATATTTTATTTATATATTGATTACTTAAAATTTTTTTTAAATTTTATTTTAAATCCTTCATATATGAATTCCTCATATATGAATTCCTCAAATCATGCTGATCTTAAAACTTTCATAAAATTTTTTTGACTCCTTAATCGAAAGAGTGCGTCTAAATTAATAAATAAATCTAATAATGAATTTGGGAAAAATTTTCTTTAAATTGCAGTGAGAATTTTAAATGAACTTAAAAATATTTTCTTTATTTTTAAAAAAGAGATAAAAAATTAATTAGTGTTTTCAAAAACGTGCTGATTTAAACAAAGATGTTTGCTTCCTTTTGTTTTTGATAACAAGTTAAAATTGGTTTGATAAAAATAAAGAAATTTTTGTTTATAAAATAGGCAGATGGCTCTTAAAAATAAAAAACAAAAAATAAGAGATGTAATATAAATTATGATGTAATATAAAGTATGGATGACACAAGGACTGAAATACTTCAAAGTAGAGAAGAAGAAAATTTTCTTCTTGAGTCAAATAACGCTTGTCATGAAATTTTCAATCCAATCAGGTAGGGATTTTATCACTTTAATAAGGTTTTGCCATTTTCATAAGTTAAAAAAATTAAAAAAAGCTTGAAAATTATTAAGTTGAGGTCTAACTCTCACTTATGCTGGCGCCGATGGTGACATTTCGTTTTGCTATACAAAGGACTCACAAAAACACAACAGACTTGCTAGAATGCAAAAAAAACAACAGAAGTAATAATGATATATAACTTATCTACCTAAAAATGCGATTTAAATGTTAGTTCAAAACTTCGAAAAATTATTTTTAATCAAAACTTTATACGTGTTTTATGAGGTTCTAAAGTCAAACTTTAAACGTTACGTGCTTTTATCACTGGTTTTACATTCGTTACCGAAACTCTGTATAATATTATATTCCGTTTCCGTAACGGTGAAATCATAAATATTTTAACTAGTGTTTTGGTAAATAGTAATAATTAATTTTACGGAATGGAAACCCTATTCTTGACACGTGTTATTCTTATTGTTTTAGATGGTTTTAAACACGAAATGTAAACCATGCAAGTTTTTCCGGCTGGGTATGAAACACGAGACCCTATTTAAAAAAGATTTAACGTTTTTTATATGCATGTGGTTGTTGAGACTATAATAGATGAGATTATAATAGATAAGATTATAATAATAGGGAACTATAACTAGAAACTATCCCAAAAAAACTGCAACATCGGGGGAAGAAATATCGTAAATATTGTTGAATAAATCTTTTTTTATATTTTATAAATATTTTTTTATAAGCATTAATCTTAATTCAAAAACAATTTTATATAAAAAATGTTAAGTAATACATTTTAAATATAAAAAAAAAAGCTCGCGTATATATTATTCAGCATTTCATGCTGAATAATATATACTAGTAATGCAAAACTTTAAACCGATCTTTTATGACTAACTGAATGATCAGCTATTTATATCTCAAGGATCTGTTTAAAAAGAAATCAGAAATTCTGAAAACTTTTTTTTAGTCTTGTATAAAAAGCATCGCGTGTTTTGTTTGTTATGTTAGAAATATCTTTAGTTTAGTTTACCACTTAATTTTAATTGACATCTAATTTTAATCAAAACAAAATCTTAAATTAGAGGATTTCTCCTTATGCAGTAAAACCACTCGTGGTACGCAGTAAAACCACTAAGTTTTGACCCTTTTCCTTGTACACACCTGCATGCTTTTACCAACTCCGCTCCTCCATTGTGTGTGTACTCCTCCATTGTGTGTGTACTCGTTATTTATTAAAAAATTGAGACAAAAATTGTGGCAATAATCAGGAGCGGATCCAGCTTTTTTTATATTTAAGATACTTTAAATATTTCTATATTTATATGTCAAATAAAGATGCTTTACAAAAAATTGCGATAAATGCTTTCCAACTGGTACTGTCTTTCCACCTGGTATTGCCTTACAACAATCAGGGTAACCGTCAAAGTAAGTTTTCTCCCAAACCTGGGGGGAAAAAAAGCAGTCTATTTTTATAAATTTTCTACTAACTTTTGTTCGATTATCTTACCAGATGGACCAAAATTCAAAACAACAATTTTAGAACTAATACAGCAAAAACAACAAAAATGAAATTAAACCTTATTAGGTTCTTGCATAGCTGTGTTTGGATAACTTTTTATCTCATTTGAAAAAGCTAAATTGATATCTCTTTGTTAGGCGGTGATATAGCATTTTAGCATAAACAGAATTTAGAATAAATATTGCGCGCTTTCTTTTTTCTCCCATATTTATTTGTAAATAAATATAAAGAAGAGCTGGGACCGAACACAGAAAAAAGCAAAATAACAATTTTTTATACTTGAGAAGTTCATTGCTTTTTGTTAAATAAAAAAATTTAAGTTTTAGAAAAAACTCATAAGAAATATTAGTATTTTTTGTCTTGAACATCCCTCCCACTCAGTAAACACACGACTTCTAAAACACGTCTAAAACATTTGAATGCATATACATTTTAAAAAGTATTCTATTTTTTAACATGTAAAAAAATCATCACTATTGCATGGTTTTTAGTTTTAGCATGTTTTTCTAAGTTTTTTAAATACTAATATATATATATATATATATATATATATATATATATATATATATATATATATATATATATATATATATATATATATATATATATATATATATATATATATATATATATATTAACTATAAGTGACAAAGTAGACCGTTATATATTGGTTGTTTAAATATACCATTAAATGAAATGAAAACATCCCATAAAGATTGTTGATTTTTTTATTCTTGTAATTTTACTCATAAATTTTTAACTTTTATTTTCTCTGCAAAAAAATTTAGATGGTGTCTACCTCCGGCAATTAAAAAGTACTGGAAGACAGTTTTACTCGCCACAATGCTCTTTCTTGCAGGATTAGGTAAGCAAGAAAAGCTATCTATTAATAATATAAGAAAGTAAAAAAATAACAAGGAAACAAGTGTCACCTTTAATTTTTGGTTGCCTCAAGCTATTTTTTATTTTTTGGTTCAGTTTTTAGCTTTATAATGTTTTTATCTTTGTAATAGTTTTTCTACTCATTGCCATTCTTATTGTTGCGTTACCCAAGTTTAGAAATGGTAAGTTTACTTTATGTAAATATTTTTTAAAAGTGATATGATTTTATAAGATTTCTTCTAATCTGTAAATAATTTTGTATTGCACGTGCATAAAATAATTTTTAGTATAAAAATTTATAATAAAAAATTAACCAAAGAATAATAAAATAAATTTACTAATAAGGTAAGTATACTATAGTTTACGTATATTCAGTACACCCAATGGAAAGAAAGACAGTATAAGTAGTACTTTAACGAAAACTGATATGACTTCTTTTATTTCGATTTTATTTAAATTGATCAAGTAATATCAAAACAAAAATTTATTTCAATTTACACGTCGTGTCGGTAGCAACGTACGACGTACGCGTTGTTCAGATGTCCATATATACACCGTAAAGAAAATTAAATTATAGATCAATAAAAAAACGTGTTATTACACGTATGGCGTAAAACATTTATACGAAATACTTTTCACAATTTGTATTTAACAATTGAATCATTTTTGAAATAATTTTTTTTTAGCATCGAGCAGCGTCGTATTTTTTATGTTTGGATTAATTTGTATAATTCCTGGAGGTAATTTTAGTTGCATTAGAATTCAAAATTGCTATTATTTTTTATAGTTTATATGTTTTTTATATGTTTTAACACCCATTTTAATAATTAAAAAACAATTAAAATTGCAAACTATAACTATTACTGTTCATTTATTAGATTATTAACTATTAGAAAAAATATATAAATATATATTTATCGCGACATCAAAGCATCAAGTCTACAAGAGACACACAATATTCAGGCGTTATTTTATGACTACATTTTTATATGGCTTTTTTCAGATTTCTTAGTGAGGTTATGTTCTGTTTAAAAACTTCTTCTTTCAATTTTACCTAAAAGTTTTTGATCCATTTAAATCTGGTGAACTCCGCCACAGAATAAGAAAATTAATTTCATTTTCTTGGAGCCTTGTTTTGACAATTTTACAAGGTAAAAGGTATAAACCAGCATGATCGTTGACAGTAATTGCACCTCAAAGCACAATTGCTGGATGTTGTTTAACAGATAGTGCTACATACCGGGATTAAAACGTGAGTTTTTGGGTTGGCAAACATTGATTTTGTCTGCTGCAATCTGCTTTACTTGCGCTTCATCTGAAAGTATGACACGTCGCTACACGTTGCTACATTTGACAGTCCAATCCTTAGTGTGCAAAAATTTGAAAATATTATGCAAATTATTTTTAAAAAGTTCTGGTTTTACAGTGCGATTGAAGATTAAAGTCCTTGGCACCTTGTCTTCAAACTGTGCAGAAACCAATTTTCACACCAGCAAGCAGTTGAATAAACATTTGTTCATAGCCAAACTGCTTGTCATTTTTTCATTTTTTTAAGTGGTAGTTTTAGGTCTTTCACAGGATTTTCCTGAACTGTTTTACAAGATTTTCCTGAAATGTCATCTGTTGACTTAATGCGCTCAATAATATTATAAACAGTTTTCTTATGTAACTTGGTTTCCAAAAGTTGTAGGAATGTCGTACAACAGTTGCACAAAAACCTTGTTTTATTATGGAAACATTTTCAAACGTAAGTTGTGCAACTTAAAATCAGTTGAACAACAAGTTCATAGTTTAAAGCAGTTGTTGCAGAAACTAATTTCTGCAACAAAATCGATCAACTGTGGTTTTCTCTAACTATTGGAAACCAAGCTTTAGATAATAGTAATTTATTTAAATATGATTTGAATGTATATATAGCATATAAGGTACTTTTCTATTGGTTGGTAAATACGCAATTACGAACGCAATTGGTAACTGTTTAGTGTCTTGTCAACATATTTTGCATTTATTAGTTGTTATCTATAATAATTATGAGTTGATTATGACTGTTATAATAAATTATTATTTCAAAATTCAATGTTTTATGAACAAAGTGTTTCACGGAATTTTAATTTCATTCAAACAGAAACTAATAAAATATTTTTTTTATTAAGGGTATCACGTGATTTACATTTGGAACTCCTACAAAGGAAAAGAAGGTTACAACATGGCAAAAATAGCTACTTTTAAAGATGAGAATTATTAAGATTGCATAAGCTATAATGATCGTGTTTTAAATGGAATACACTCAATACCATAATTATGCTTGGTAAAATGAAGAGTTCAACTATAATAAAAAAACATATAAAAAACAGACTAAAACAAAAAAAAAATGGAACGGAAGCAGAATAATGAATTTTTAGGAAAATAAAACCTGTATGCTTTTATTGCATTTTTTTTACTGCACCTAAAATATTTATTACTAAAATTGAATTTCATTTTTTATTTGTAGGGGAGAAAAGACAAGTAGGACATTAATATATATAAAAAGACAAGTAGAACATTAAAAAATACTTCTAGAATAATTCTAATATCAAATAAAGGATCATTTCGGACACTGATTTAATCCTCTAAGATTTAAAGCAAGTTATAATAAAGTGTATATCTTTACAATTTTAGAGGAACCGTGCTATTGGGTTAAAGTGGGACAAGTGTGGGTGAAGTGAGATAAGTGTGGGTTAAGTGAGACAAGCGAGTAATTACCAACATATTAATAAAAATTTGTTAACTAAAAACTGAAAACCGTTAACAATATAAATAAACAAAGTTGATGAGGGAGAAGTGAGACATTTAATTTTCTTTACTCGAAAAAGGCTTTTTGAGGTACTTTTCGAAAATGTGAATTTTGCTATCATAAATATATTAAAATAGAACCTTATGGAAGATACGAATAAAATAACTCAAAAGTGGATTAAACAAGGGTGGTAAAAGTTATTAAAAAAAGTAAAAGAAGCTTTATCGATTGTTGTTACTCTATGAGCCCTGGGAAGGTAAATTAAAAAATAACAACAACATCAACAAAAATGTTGTTGTGTTGATATTTACCTGCTACAAGGCCATGTAACACCATTTTTCTAATTTTAAAAATATCTGCTTATAATAATATAATAATAAGAATATCTTATGTTTCTAAACTGTTGATATTAAATATACACGTTTTATAATTATATAAAGGAAAGAAGGAGAAGAGTTCGTCATCAGTTAGGAGCGCGAACATTTATATACTGGGGGCACTGCAAGCAAATGTTTCACGTTTATGTTTCAATCTATCTACCCTCAATCTAAATAAGAAACGTGATATACAAGATATAGTTTCGTAATTTTGAAACGCAATAAGAAAAGAGCTAATTATTTTTGTATTTACTGTTTAAGCAAACATATTTAATTGTACTAACTTAAGTGCCTAACAATAAAAGATTTTTGTTAAGTGTTACAATCTGCAATGTTACATGTTAAAAAAGAAAAATTGTTGTTAATGTAGTTAACATTAAAAAAGGTAAAAATGTGAGAAACTGAGGGACAATTTTATTTTTATAGTTTTAATTTTTTTTTCGAACATTTAAATACGCTGTAGTTTTTTTTCTTCCAATTATAATGCATTGTTTAATTCCAAAATATTTTGAAAAATAAGTAGAGACCAAATAATTGGTAAATATTTAACGTATTTTATTTCTTTTAATAAGGGTTTATCATAGATATGTTTGTAATAAAGATATATGTTGTTCTAAAAGCATGTTTTTATTGGTAACTGGGACATTAACTTAGTCTTGCGTTTCCTCAGGCAATGTTAGCGTATGTAATATAGCTATATATAAAGAAAAAGTAAAATTATTTTTGTTATTTGTTGAGCTAAAGCAGTCGAAGCGCAGTGGTTAGCACGCTTGCTTTGGAAGCTAGGGACCTGTGGTTCAACGCCAGTTTTATAACATCAGTAAAGAAGGTGGCGTAAACTTCCTTTTAAATGCTCTTCCACGGTGCTTTGAGATAAGACCGTAAGAACTTCTTGGGGCACCTACAATAAAATTAAAAAAAAAAGTATATCTAAGTTTTAGATATTTTAGTGTTAATGACGTTTCCTTGAGCTGCCTTTTAAACGTTTTTGTCAATACCCAAACCTAGAAATTTAACTATTTGGCTTCTTTCAATTTTTGTGTAACCAATACTTAGTGAAGGTAGAGTTGGTGAAAGTGCATTTTCTTTTGCTTTGACTAAAAAAAATATATTTAGTCATTTGTGCGTTTAATGATTACTTTTTAGTACTGAGACATGTTTTAAGTTTTTGTAGCTTACTCTTACTTACGAAATCTCAATAAACGTAGAAAAAAGCAAATATACTCTTTTTACAAAATCTTCTGGTTCAGACACCCTCCCCTTAAAACTTCAAGAATTGCTTATCGACAATACTAAACTTAAAAGAGAATACTCAATAAATTTTTCAGATATAGTTCTTAATGAAACTGTTACCTGAAGTAATCATATCAAAAAAGTGGAAAGGAAAATATCTAAAATTATTGGAATTATGTATAAATCAAAGCATCTTCTTCATACAACTTGTTTAAAAAATATTAACTTCTCTTTTATTCACAGCTGCATCAATAACTGCAACATAATATGGGCGAGTACTTAGAGTAGATTATTATTGATTTTTTTTTATTGTATTTGAAAATATGAAAACCAAAAGAAGAAAAAAAAGATTGCTTTTAGCAGAAACTCTGTTAAAACCGATCAATATAAAATACATTTAATAAATTTAATACTTTATATATCTAGATGTATATATATTTATATATTTTTTTATAGCATACAGAAATAATAAAAGATCTAAATTTTAAATTTTTTATAACAAAAAAAATCTGAACCCATTACAAATTTTTTTTTTTGCAAATATGTTTTGTTGCAGAGCCAAGAATTGCAATTTGGATTCTCGCGTGACATCATATCCGAATGTAATTCTTTTTTACACTTTCTGCATTTAATAAAACTTTCTTCATTTGGGCAAAGGTGATGTAATTGTTTCTTCTTTTCTGGGTTTGACAATGGCATTATGAGTTTGCAGATGGTTTTACGTTTTTTAGTTTTTCAATTAATTCGCTTAACTTCTTTTCTTTTGAGATGATCTGCAACGTGTAACATAATGTTTGAGATAATCTGCTAAGTGTAACACCGTGTTTGAGATGATCTGCAACGTGTAACACCATGTTTGAGATGATCTGCAACGTGTTCGGTAATTCATTGGCCAGCAATTTTTGGAATATTAGGTTGCCTCAATTTTTTTTTTTTTTTAAAAAAAAAAACTTATTTGCTCATTTCTATTTTGATTTTCATTCTCTCATGTAGTGCTCCGTACTTGTCGAATCTCGAAGCTGCTGTTGCTGGTTCAGAAGATAATGCTAAAGGCTTTATTGTTGGCAATGGCGTTGAAAACGTCGGTTGATTAAACGTTTCGGAGACAGGTAATGCCTGTTGATTTTATTTTTTTAAGTGAAAATAACTAAAGTATATTCAAAACCAACAATAGTGTATAACACTTTCCACTCTCATACACCTGTTTGAGCAACGGAGGAAAATTTTCTTTATCTAAGTTTTTGCATTGTGTGTCTTTGTAATATTTGGTAAGAACTGCCTTCCACACTTACTTAACATTGCAATAGACACCTCTGTCCATTGGCTGAAAAATGTGAGATAAATGGGCCGGTAGACAAATCAAAATTAGATTGTTTTTCTGACATAGCAATACAGCTGCTAAATTGATGTGAGACGTATATCCATGAAGATGTAAAATATGAGTACCACAAATAGCTTAACATTTTTGTTTATACACTACCTACAACCTACTACCTACAACCTACTACCTACAACCTACTACCTACAACCTACTACCTACAACCTACTACCTAAAACCTACTACCTACAACCTACTACCTACAACCTACTACCTACAACCTACTACCTACAACCTACTACCTACAACCTACTACCTACAACCTACTACCTACAACCTACTACCTACAACCTACTACCTACAACCTACTACCTACAACCTACTACCTACAACCATTCAATAAATGTTTCATGCTCCATCCAACCAGAATTAGAAATTGAATATTTAACTCTAAAGTTTCGTTTTGCTTTGTATACCACTCAACTCTAAAGCTTCGTTTTGCTTTCTATACTGTGAATGTAGTGTAAAGTATCCACAAGCATTACATCAGTTGCTCACTGCATAATGGACTTTTTCACTGTTGCCTGTGAGTTTCAAAACACACTTTTCACATTTTTGAAATACTACAGTTGCTTTGCCTTGACACAGAAAGTCGTTTCATTGCAATTCAAAATGTGACAACCAAAAGTTATACCCGACAAATAATATTGTTTAGTGACAACTTCAAAATAATTATTAATTATATCGTATAAGAAGCAGATAAATTTTGAAAGTGAATAATTTATAAACATCATTGAGTCATTTTTGTAAAATACATTTATATATAGGAAGAGACCGCAATTAACACATGAGAAAATCAAATAATTTATTTCATAGGTAATAATTTAAAAATTCACCTACTACTTAGTAAAAGAATTTAAAGTTAATTTTTAACAATAAAACGAAAAAAATTATGTAATCGGTATTAAAACTAAATTTTTTACAAGATAGGGGTAAAGTTATTTTTAAACGAATTATGGTTCCTGAGTTATTACGATGGCAATTAAAAGAAAAAAGCAAATATGACTTTCTTTTAAACTTTTATGAAATAAAATGACTAAAAAATAAATTGGATTTTATCTAGACACATTTTATTAGAGTCGATGATTGACTTTCTTCAGTGTTTATTTATTTTTTAGATATTCCAATAAGTTCCGGTTTTATTAAAACTTTTCGATCAGTGATCGAAAAAGTAGTACGATCGGTTTGACCCAATTTTACTCTATTCAACAAAGTTAAATACAATTTACAAAAAACAAAAACATGCATGTCGCCTAATTTTAAACCCAAGCAGAGCAAAACCTCTACTAAGAAAACTTGGAGTGCTTAATGCCTTCGAATTAAATATTCTTAACATACTACTTTTTGTGTTTAAGTTAAAAAATACTACCAAACCATTTCTAATATCAATTTATTGTAATATCAATTTATTGTAATATCAATATATATATATCTAATATCAATTTATTTCTATAAAAACGAAATACCAAACTAAGTACTCAATTAACAATTACCTAAAACTTTATGAAAACAAGCTCACTTCTCAATATCTTCCCGCGGGCTACGATTCAATTGAATTGTGGAACTCGATTCTAACAAATCATATAAATACTATAACTTCCACTCTACATTTTAAACGTGCAACATATTCAGTCTTGATTATAAGCAATTACTAACCTACTTTTA